GACTCAAAAGAAGCAGCAACTGTGAGATTGGTGCAGGACCGGGTAGTGTCTCATTCTGTTGTTCATGGGGTCACTATGAATTAACATCGACTCAGTGGCACCTTACAACAACAACGCCCTCTAGCCAGTGAACTACTCCCCTTTACCTCCCATCCCTGGTAACCATCAAAGAATGTTTCTTTTAGTGGTAAAACTTTTCGTGACTTTTTACAATAGTGGTCTCATACAATATTTGTCTTTTTGAGAGTATCTCATATCACTCAGCATAATGTGCTTCCGATTCATCCATTTCGCACACTTTAATGTTGCAGAGTATTACATTTTGTGTAGGTACTGAAGTTTGTTTATCCGTTCTTCCATTGATAGGCTTTGAGGTTGAGTCCATCTTTCTGTTATTGTGAATAGTGCTTTAATGAACATTGTCGTTGTTAAGTGCCACTAAGTTGTTCCGCCCCATAGTGAATCTGGATAGGGTTTCCAAGGGGAGGTTAGTGAGTTTGAAGCGCCGACCTTGCGATTCACAACAACCCTGCAGTCCAGTGTGTTAACCCAAGCACCACACCAGGACTGCGTGATGAACACTGGTGTGCATATATCTACTTGGGTTGTAGCTCTTATTTCTCTAGGATATATACGAAGTAAAAGGATTGCTGGGTCATATAGTATTCCTATTTCCAACTCTGTGAGGATGTGCCATACTGTTTTCCACAATGGTTGCTCCATTTTACAGTCCCATGAGTAGGGCATGAAGGTGCCCGTCTCTCCAGAACCACACCAGCATTTGTTACTTTGTTTTCTGAACTTTGCTATTAATGCTGGGGTGAAATGCTATCTCATTGTTTTAATTTTCATAAGATGGCTCACTTTATACCCATATTAGAGTTCCAAGTTTTCACAATCATTGTTAACAATGGAATCATATAATCCTATCAACATTTCCCCCTACCTATTCCCATCAGGAAAAGGTCATTTTGAGGAAGTTACAAAGACTAGGTAGCGTAGTGGTTACGAACCGGGCTGTGAACTGCGAGGTTAGCAGTTCGAAACTACCAGCTGCTCCGTGGAGAACGATGAGGCTTTCTGCTCCCATAAAGATTTACAGCCTGGGAAACCCTGTTCAGGGTTGCTATGGGTTGGAACCAACTCGATGGCACTTAACAACAACAACAACAAAGACTAGGTGGTTAGAAGAAATATATCAAACAATTCACTGTATCACAACCCCAAATGTCTAATAATAAATTTAAAATGTTATTGAGTCAATTCTGATTCACAATGGGATACCACTTTATGCCCATCAGATTGACAAAAAATAAGAAACCAAGCAATACCAAGTGTTGGGGGATATGAGAAAACAGGAACCTTTGTGCAGCTGCTGGTGGGACACATTGACTGATGTGACATTCCAGAGAACAATCTAGCAGAATTAGGTATGCTCCAGGATCCTACCCCAAACCCAAAAATCCATGTACCATTGAGCAGATTCCAGTTCACAGTGACCCTATTTAGGACAGAGGAGAACTGCTTCATTAGAGTTTTCCAGGCTGTAAATCTTTATGGGAACCCTGGTGTGGCACTGTGGGTTAATGCCTTGGACTGCAAGGTCGGTCTGAATCACAACGTCTGCTTTAATTGCAAGTCTGGTGGTTCAAGCTCACCAGCCATTCCTTGGAAATCCTATACAGAGTGGCTATGATTTGGAACCAACTCAGTGGCACTTAACAAATCTTTATGGGAGTCCTGGTGTGGTGCAGTGGATCAGCATTGGACTGCTAACTATATCAGGTCAGTGGTTCAAACCCACCAGTAGTCGCTCCTTGGAAACTCTATACAGGGTCGCTATGAGTCAGAACTGACTTGACAGAACTTAACAACAACAAATACAAATCAACAACAACAAATCTTTAGGGAAGCCAACAGCTTCATTTTTCTCCCAAAGAGTGGCTGATGGATTTGAACAGCTGACCTTTTAGTTAGCAGTCCAACATTTAACCCACTGTGCCATTAGGGCTCCTACACAGGGGATGGATAACCCTGAGAAACTCGTGCATATCCACAAGGAGAAAAGTGTCAGAATATTCATTGGAGTGTTGTTTGTGGTATTTTAAAAATTAAAGCAATCTAGGTGTCTACCACTAGGAGAATGCTAAGATTTCATTTATTAATTTTAGGACATGCTCTCAGAAGTTAAAACGAGATTTTCATACATTAGCATACTTATATTCCAGTAGCATGAATGAAAAACCCTTGGGTGGCACAAATAGTTTGTGCTCACTACTAACCTAAAGTTTGGCTGTTTGAACCCACCCAGAGGAAGAAAGGTCTAGCAATCTGCTTCCATAGATTACAGCCACGAAAAGGCTGTGGAGCAGTTCTACTCTGAAACACATGGGGCCAACATGAGTCATAATCCACATAATTGGAAACCAGTTAGCCACGGATTATCCTGAAAATACAATATACGATCGATTTTAAAATATTTAAAATATTCACAGTATAATGAATGTAAACCTAAAGTTCTCCCATGTAAACTATCATATAATTCACAATAAAACATTTAAACACATAAACAAAAAAGAATCAGATAAAAAAAATATATATACACACCACATATATATATATGAATTCAAAACCACAATAGCTAGGCTGCAAACCAAGAAACTGGTAGTTGAATTTACCCACTGGCTCCACAAGAGAAAGATCTGGAAATTGTTGTTAGGTGTTGTCGAGTTGGTTATGACTCATAGAGGCACAACAGGAAAAACACTGCCCGGTCCTGCATTATCCTCACAATTGTTATGTCTGAATCTAGTGTTGCTGCCACTGTGTCAATCCAACTTGTTGGGGGTCTTCCTCTCTTCCCAGACCCTCCACTTTACCAAGCATTATGTCTTTCTTCAGCGACTGGTCTTTCCTGACATGTCCAAAGCACCATGGCCTACCATGGCCTCTAAGACACATTCTGGCTGCATTTCCTCTGAGACAGATTTGGTTTTGGCAGTCCATGGTACTTTTCAACATTCTTCTCCAACACCATAATTCAAATGCATTGATTTTACAGTTTTCCTTATTCATTGTGCAACTTTCACATGCATTAAGAGTTGTTGTTAAGTGCCATCGAATCACCTAAGGGAAGTTCTACTCTGTCATATTGGGTCACTGAGTCAGAATCCACTCCATGGGATCGAACAGCAATATGTATTTTTAAAAATATATAAACACACAAACTTAGGATGGACTGCAAAGACATTCATTTAAAGACACCAGAGTTGGTGTCTGAGAAAGAGTGAAATGGAATTGAGAATAAAGAATGAAAGGAGGAAGGTAGTAATAGACATGAGAGACCTTGCGCTGACTCACAACGATCCAGTGTCAGGAACTAAAGACTGAGATTCTTTAAACAAAACAAAGCCAGTCACGAGGGCGAGGATCCCACACACCCCGCGCCTGGAATGCAGGAGATGACCGACGGCCCCACAAAGGCTCCAGGGGACGGACGCGTTGGAGCCAGTGCAAGGCTGCCTCGCACGGAGGGGAATGTGGGAGCCCCTCCTGGTTCAGAAGTCACTTGAGCCGGGGCGGGAGCTCCAGTACTGTGGGCTAGAACTGGGGAGCCCCTGCCCTAGAGAGTGCTGGGCAGGACGTCCCGGGCCCGGTCCTCCCCCACCTTCCCGAGCTACCCCGCTCACCTCGAGCCGGCCCCGGGCGCGGCGGCCGGGACAGCCATGACCCGGGATCCGACCGACAGGGCTGCACAGGCGCCCCAAGTTAAGCTCTGGACGAAGTGCAAGGAGCGCGCGCCGGACGGGGAGGGGTGGAGCCCCGACGACCATAGAGACGCCGGCGGATAGAAAGGAAGGCTCCGGGTAAGGCGGCCTCTCCCGGAAGCAACGGGCTTGTAGAAAAGAGCCACAGAGTACTGAGCGTTAATTCGACCTAGACGTCTAGGCAGCTAGAGCGTCTTTTTACGGATCTGGTGGGGTTCTCTTTTGACTGGCGGTAGCCGGGAATGGAACGAAAGCGTTTTGTAACAAGTATTGTTTACTTTGACTATAGTACACTCTCTCAAAGAAACCAGAAAGATCTTTTAGAAACATAGATCAGAGCATACCACTCTTCACTTAAGATATCCAGTAAGATGCTATTGGCTTCTGATTGTTGAAAGAATCAACCATACTCCACTTTGTTCCAGTTACACTAGTCTTTTTCTTCACTGTTGTTGTTAAATACTGTGGAGTTGGTTCCGACTCATAGTTACATTATATAGGGTTTCCAAGGAGTGACTGGTGAGTTTGAACCACTGGCGTTGCGGTTAATAGTTTAATGTTTATTCTATATCACCAAAGCAGGTCACTACTCCTCTGTCAGTTTGTTGTCCTGTGGTGGCTTACGTATTGTTTCTGGAAGCTATGCCACCGATATTTTAAATATCAACACGGTCACCCATGTTGGTCAGGTTTCAGATGAGCATCCAGGCTAAGACAGACTAGGACGAAGGAGAGACTGAATACTTACTAATATTTAGTCACTGAAAACCTGATGAATAGCAATGGAACACTGTCAGATAGCACCAGAATATTGAATATTGAAACATGATGAAGAACACCAGAGTATTGTGAGATTATAGTGCTGGAAGATGAGCCCCTCAGGTTGGAAGACACTCAAAATATGACTGGGGAAGAGCTGCCTTCTCAAAGTAGAGTTGACCGTGATGGTGTGAATGGGGTAAAGCTTTTGGGACATTCATTTGCTGATGGGACACAACTCAAAGCGAGGAGAATCAACTGTAAACATCCATTAATAATCAGAACATGGAACAGACTAAATATGAATCTAGGAAAATTAGAAGGTGTAAATAATGAAATGGAACGCATAAACATCGATATTCTAGGCATTAGTGAGCTGATATGGACTGCTATTGGCCATTTTGAATCTGATAATCAGATGTTTTACTATACTGGGAATGACAAATTGAAGAGGAATGGAGTGGCATTCATCATCAAAAAGAACATTTCAAGATCTATCTTGAAGTACATCGCTGTCTGCGATAGGATAATATCCATATGC